ATTACATTCGGTAGTCTGCCAGTTTGTCCAAAGTAAGAATGAGATAATAAGATGTTGTGTGATCGCAAATGCGGCCGTGTGCTTCCAGGAGCTGGGTTTTATAGTCTCTGGGTCTTGGCTTTTGATGGGTTTACACATTGCGGGGGGGTCTGTTGGTGGGTGTGACCCCTGCCTACTGGAAGATGGAGTATCTGGGTATAGGATGTTCAGCCCCGATCCAAGCAGGCTTGAAGATCTCAGCCCCACGACCCGCATGCCTTTGTTCCTCTGCCATTACCTTCATGCATGTGGAGAGTGGTCTCAGCATGGTTGTGGCTGGTTCTGGAGGTCTTCGGCTGCCAGAATTCTGCTCGGGGCGGGGAGAGAAACTGAACTGACCCAGCAATACCACTCCTGGAAATATATCCCGGAGCGGCAAAAAAGTACAGTTGAAATGACATCTGTACTTCTATGTACATTGCTGCACTGTTCACAAAAGCAAAAATTTGGAAAAATCCCGAGTCCCCGAGAACAGATGACTGGTTAAAGAAACTTTGGTACAGCTACACAATGGAACACAACGCATCTGTTAGAAAAGTTGAAGTCATGAAATTTACATTCAAGTGGTTCTACATAATAAGTAGCATGCGAAGTTGAAATGAGTCAGAAAGAGAGGGACAGACACAGAAAGGCTGCACTGATCTGGGGAATATAAAGTAACAGAATGGAAACTGAACACCCAAGAATTGTTGAGATAAGTAGCAGGAGGTCTGGTTCAGGGTTTGGAAGCTGGCTTTAAATGCCGGGGGGAAAGGCAGCTCAGATAGAGAAGGGAACACCAATTAAAGGATGTTTGAAGGACTCACTCAGGATGCGAGATGAGTGCTGAATGTAGACTATAGACTGAACACTATAGCCACTCAATACCTCTATTGCAAACTACAACACTCTTAAGGAAAGAGTACGAAAAAGGAAATGCCCTGCCACAGAGGCAGAGTGGGGTGTGGGGATGGGAGAGCTACTAGGATCATTGATGGTGGAGAATGGACACTGGTGTAGGGATGAGTACTCAATCATTGTATGACTGAAACCCAAGTATGAATACCTCATGGTGTTTCAGTCATAAAAGTGATAAAAATAAATAAATAGATAGATAAATAATAATTGTAATAGTTTTCTTCATTTTTCACTTTCTCTAATCTACTAGGTTTAACTTTATTATGTTTTATGTATTAAGTTTTCACTATGCTACATGGATGAATTCTTGTTTCATACTGGTTATCTGGTTAGTTTTTAGAACTTTCTATATGTTTCCTGTAATCTGTAATCTTACTGTAGGCTTGGATAAACAGTACCAGCTAACATCTAATGTGTAAAGTCTAAGAAATCAGCAAAAGTTATTCAACCTTGCCTTCAAAGAGTACAATCTATTAGTGTCCTGGTTCATAAGAATTTCTTACTTTTGCATATTTCTCTTTCCCCTTTTACACAATTGCATTCATTATCTATAGAGAGCAACTCTGTCTATAAACTAGAGCATGCATCTGTATGTGGTGGTGTGTGATTGCAACACACTACCTGCTGGAGTGTGCGATTCATCTAAGATTCTAAATAAAGTCTTTTCTTTTTTTCACTTGATAATGAACTTCTGACTGAGTATTGGAATTTAGTCTTCACTGAATCATGTGGGATGTAGGCTGAAAATAACCCTCTCTGCCTGCTGCCAGAAGCAGCCATTTCAGCATCACCTTCCGAGTGCAGCATTGCCTATGAAGAGAAACACTTTGTTAAAGGAAAGAAAATGGAATGCAGGGAATCTCCAGGATTATTGGAGAGGTGTCTAAAAGAAGAATTCCCCTTACATGTTTTTAATACCTTCATTTTTCTTAGACTTTACACATTACATATCAGACATTGTAAATATCTTAGATATTACATTGTATTTCCATATTTTATTTTATTAAAATATAATAAATGAAATTGTTCTGTTGTAAGTAAATAGCATTTTATTATTTTTCCCATTGATTTCATTTATTTTCAGAAATTTTTCTTTTGTGTGTCACAATGGAGACATTAGTGGGCCCAGTCGAGGAGATGAACAACGGGAGGACAGTGACAGTGACAGTGGCTGTTTGCTTTCACTCTCACTTGGATTCCTTGGGCACAGAATCAAGAAAATTACCAAGGTAATAATTCCCCATTGAATGTATATAATTAGCAATTATATTATCTTGCTTGGAGAACATGATGACACTTGGGTGTGAAGTAGTTTTAATCTTCCATATATATCACCAATTAAAAATGATAATAAGCATTATTATTTTACACCATTAAATGTGGAAATGTTAGAAAATTGTTATATTGGAGATAGAAGTCAGATATTTTGTATCTTTTGCTACATAAAACTACATTGTATATATTTTAAATAGCATGTAAATAAATAAAATGTTGAAAAATTTTCAGAAACAAGAAATACACATTATTATTTTTTTAATTTTTATTAGTGAAACATCATGAGGTACAGTTGTAGACTTACAAATTTTTGTGCTTTGATTAAAATTATACAATGATCAAATACCCATTCCTCCACCAGTGCCCATTTTCCACCAACACGGGTCCCAGTACCCCTCCACCTCCCCTTTTGTTCTCTCTCTCCTTTTGGGTGTTGTGGTTTTCAAAAGAGGCATTGAGTGGCAATCATTATTTTACAATTGATATTGGTTCCAGATGATTTCAGAAGCTTTTCTCTCTAAGTGGTGGGATAATTTAAATCATTTGAGTCAGTTTACTGGCCATGAGAAAGTACATAGAATGTAAATAAGGAAGTGAGTGATTAGTAAAATACTGATATTTTTAAGCAATTTGGTTCCTAAAATTCACAAATTTCTTATTTGAAATTTTGACACTTTACAACCAGAGATTGCGGGGGAAAGACGATTTATTTCACACACTCTATGTGCTAGCTATAAAGGTCACATACCAGAAAAAGTTGGGAAAAAGAGAGATATGATCATGACAAACTTGAGCAAAGTATGTGAACTCCTTCTTATTTCAAGAAAAGTTTTTTTTTTTTATAAACATTTTTCCCTCTCGAAGAGCATGGCAAGCTACAGAGATTATCCCGCCTGCATGGCAGAGCCTGGCAAAATACCCATGGTGTATTCGACATGCCAAATACAGTAACAATAACAGGCCTCATTCCCTTGACCTTGAAAGAGCCCCTAGTATGCCATTGGACTACGCAAGCACGAGACAGTGAGGAATGGAGATGTTAATGGCGCCCACTCGAGCAAACGATGAACAACGGAATGACAAGCGATACAAGTGATTTTTAATATTAATTTTTAATTTATTATTAAAATATAAACCTACTCCGAGTGTTCTTACTGCCCATAAAACTAGTACCGATCATCTTGCTTGATACCTTCTGCAACATGGATCATTAAAATTATGCATAACTGCTTTAGAATTCCACTATCTTGCACAAAGTAAATTTAGTCAACTATTAAGAGAATCAAAACCAAATATATCCATCACTTTATTCTTTGTTTGTATTTGAACTACACTCAGTGGTGTACAAGTGAGTGTACTCCTGAATCTGCACTCAGGGAACCATACAAGGTGTTGGGGATTGAATTGGGATTGTCTTTGTGAAAGGCATGGACATTACTTACTTTTCTATTTCTATAGCCTCTTTAATTTTTACTTTATGAATAATCATTATAAATATTTTATAGCATATGTTAAAGGATATAAAACTTGTTAAATATACTAAATTCTGTGATCCACTATCATATTCATTGCACGTTAAATTTGACAATCAGGAGTTGAGCAAACACTGATTGCAGGTTACTAGTGAAACATGTTTTCTCTATAACAATCATTTAAAATATATGATGACAACTATTTTTTACCATATGACAGAATTCCTGAAATATGTTATTTCTTTAAGTAATTTTTTAAAACTCCAAAAAGCAGCTGAATACATTTCAGAAGTTGTAATTAGGGCTTTATTTTCATCCTTTAGTCAATAAGCTATAAAGCGGTTTAAGCCATAGAAAAATATTAAAATTATCACAAAGAGTTCTTGGTATACTATGGAGATCACTATAAAACTTAAACAGTCCTGTAGACAAGTTCATATATTTTGTGAAACTAGAAGGAAATTTTGGGTTTTTTTTGTTTATTTGTATGTTTTGGGATCACATCCTGTGGTGTCACAGGATTACTACTGGCTCCGAGTTTAGAGATCACTGCTGACTGTGAATGAGGCACATAAGGGGTGCAGGGGACCAAACCTGTGTTGACTATATTCAAGACAGTTGCCCTACTAACTGTACTATTGCTCTATCCTTGAATTAGAAGGATATGTTAGGAGAAAATAAATTACTCTGATGGTCAGTCATAAATTTTGAAATTAAGGATGTTTTTAGAATATAATAAATTTAAAAGGTGAACCCTATGATATATAAAGTAGACTACGTAGTAAGAGATCAAGGTATGAATTACTGAACCAAGAGGCCTACATCACCCTGAGCAGTATCATTAGGATTAATTCATGGCTCTCTTGAGCAGAGCCTGGGAAACACAAACAAATGAAATAAAATAAACAAAAATTAACAAGATCTATTTAAAAAATATGAAATAAAGTCATTAAACACATTGTACCAAACCCGCCACAAAAAAGCACTAAATAGGTCATTCTTTATCTTAAAGAATGTGTTGACAAAAAAACTCCATATGAAAACAATAGTTTGCTCATAGGCATATTAATGAAACCTTCCTATAAAGAAAAAAATTTGATAGATGTATAAAAATAAGAGCTTATATCTAAATCCATTTTGATAGATAAAATCTGTTCTCTTTCATGTAATTATAAACATTTCTTTTACCTTTTATTTACTAATTATGCATGTGCACAGAGATTACAAATAGATTAGGTCTAGACATATCTATCATTTATATATTGAGGATCAACATAAGGGAGATTATTATTGATTCTTACGTTGTCTTGCATTTAGATGATTTTGCAATTCAAAGCCAGAGAAGCTAGTCTATGTGAAGAAGAGTCAGTTGATCTCACCATTGGTATAAAATGTAAGCAGAATACAAGGGGAAAAACACATATGTCATGAGTTTACTGTATGTTTAATTTACCATTTACTTAATTTCTTGAGAGCAGTAGGTTTTTTTCTTGAAAGTATGTTTTTGATAAGACTCTGCACAGCACAAGGTGCTCATGGCATACTATTTGCTGTGTTTTCTGTAATCATACTACCCTGATCAGCTACTCACAAAGCAAGTTCCTTAACCACTTTGTTATCTCAAGAGTAGTAGTTTTTTTATAAAGCCATTCATGGCATGTTTTACTTGTTTGTTTCTCAGAGTATAAATAAATGGGTTTAACATGGGGGGTACTGAAGTAAATAGTAGCAATACTTCCTTATTAGCGACTGTTTCATTTTTTGCAGAAGGTTTGATATAGATGAAGATACAGCTGCCATAAGTGATGGAGACCACAATCATGTGGGAGGAACAGGTAGAAAAGGCCTTTTTCTTTTGCTGAGCAGAGGGGAACCCAAGAATCGTGCGAATGATACTTCCATAGGACCAAACTACAAATGTGAGAGTCACTAGTAGAATAAATGAAGAGCAGAAAAGAACCATCTTCTCTAAGAATTCTGTATCCAAACATGAGATCTTCAGGACAGCGTTGGAATCACAGACAAAGTGGTCGATTTCAGAGACACAAAATTCCAGTGTCAGCACATAGCCAAATGGTGGTATCATGAGCAATAACGTAATTATCCAACATCCAGAGATAAGTTTTTTGCAGGCCAGAGGATTCATGATAGTCATATAATGAAGGGGTTTGCAGATGGCTACATAACGATCATAGGACATAGTTGCCAGAAGAAAAAATTCTGTTATTCCAAATAGGCTATCAAAAAATACCTGACATATACAAGAGTTGAAAGTAATGATTCTATCTCCTGTTGCTAAACTGTACAAGAATCTTGGGATACAGGTAGATGTGAATGAGATTTCTAAGAAGGAAAAGTTTTGCAGAAAATAATACATGGCAATTTTAAGGTGGGCATCCACAAAGGTGAGAATGATGATGGTCAGGTTTCCAACAAGGCTCAACATGTAGGTGATAAGTAGAAATATAAAAAGAAGAACCTGCAGCTGTGGGTCATCTGTCAATCCCAGGAGGATGAATGTGGTTATTGCTGTATGATTTCTCATTCCTGGCTTCTGAGTCTTCCTGATCTATGTGAAAAAGGAAGAGAGATAAGTGTAAGATAAAGAAAACAGTGTTTCTTTCACTTGGATTTTGCTTAGAAATGTTAATTAATATAATATTTGACTTATTTCCAAATCCTGTATATTTTTGGATAGCATAATGATATTCAATTTGTTTCATATATTGATTTTCTATATGATAAATAAATCTTAAAGGAGGACAGGTCGTTTACATGGAAATCAGATGTAGAAGAACATATAAATTTGCATCTTTGCATATATGTTCAGGAATTTTTTTAATGGGATTGCCTGCCTTTCACATATGGCCCTTCTTGTTTAGATCTCCAACCCCACACATTGTCCCCAAGTTCTTTCAGGAGTAATCATTAGACAGTACTATGTCTATCCCTCTTTTTCTGACTCCCTCTCATAGACAGTCTATGTCTATCCCTCTCTTTCTGACTCATTTAGCTTAACATGATACTTTGCAGTGATAGCACAGCGGGTAGGGCGTTTGCCTTGCACGCAGCCAACATGGCCGACCCGAGTTCGATTCCTCCGCCCCTCTTGGAGAGCCCTGCAAGCTACCAAGAGTATTCGATATGCCAGACACAGTAACAACAAAGTCTCCAATGGAGACGTTACTGGGCAAATCGGTGATCAACGGGAGGGCCTTTACCTTTACCTTTATCTTACCACTTGTATGCAAATTTCATAACTTCATCTTTTCTAACAGCTACATAGAACTCCATTGTGTAAATGCACCAAAGTTTCCTTAACCAGTCATCTGTTCTCGGGAACTCAGGTTTTTTCCAGATTCTGGCTACTGAAAAGAGAGCTGCAATGAACAAACAACTGCAGATGTCACGTCGAATATACTTTTTGCCTCTCTGGAACATAAAGTAACAAAATAGGAGAACAACACCCAAGAGTGTCCGAGATTGGTACCAGGAAGTTTGTGCCTTGGATTAGAGGCCAGACACACATGCTAGGGGAAAAGGGAACTCAGATAGAAAAGGGAGAAACAAATAAAGGGTGATGGGAGGATCCTCCCAGGATGGGAGAAGCATGCTGAAAGTAGACTATAGACCAAACATGATTGCCACTCAATGCCTCTTTTGCAAACCAGATCACCCAAAATGAGAAAGAGAACAAAAGTGAATGCTCTGCCACAGAGGCTAGGTAGGATGTGGGGGATGGGGTTAGGAGGGATACTGGGATCCGTGGTGGTGGGAAAAAGGCACTGGTGGAGGGATGGGTATTTGATCATTGTATAATTGAAACCCAAGCACAAAAATTTGTAAGTCTACAACTGTACCTCATGCTGTTTTACTAATAAAAATTTAAAAAAATATACGTCCAGTCTGACTTGGCTGCGTATGGTCCAAGGCAATAAATGCATAAATGAATAAATAAAATACAAGAAGGAAAAATAACTAAGAAAGAATTTCTTTTAAATTTATTATGGAAAAAATTGGGGCTGTTCTGGTTAATTTCAAGAATTCTGACTCTGAACTCAAGAATGGTTTCAGACTCTGCTCTTTGAACCATATCTGGTGCTGAGAATTGAACCTGGGCCAACCAGTAAGAAAAGTACTTTAAATCCTGAATTATCTTTCCAGTCCCATGTCAAAAATTTTTAATAAATAATTGAACATTTTCATACCTGTCATTGTGATTAATTTTCTAATATATCATAAGAATATAAATTATTTTAATTATTAAAACAAGTGTCATTAAACAAGAAAGTGAACTCTTGTTAGACAACACCTATGGTTTATAAACTAAAGTCATTTTTAAGATTCAATGAGCAACAATACAATCCAAGGTGTCATGATACGTTTCATCATTATTAAAATATCCTCTGCATCCAGAAGTAAGGTGAAAGTTTCAAGGTTTACAGTCAACTGGAAATAGAGGGAGAAGTGATTCAATTTGTATGCTGTACAGAACATCAATCACTTTCCCATCTTGAGAGCAGCACATGCTTAAATCGCATTAGATAAAATAGAACCCTAGATTATGTATCCAAATAAATTGCTATTTTAGAGGAGATATTGATGGTGAATATGGAATATTAATATTGTACTGTAAAACATGAGTATTTACACTCTTATTATTCAGTGTATCAGTACTCTTTCAATTGATTTTTATAGATAGAAAGGATTAAGTTTATAGCCAACCCTTATTACATTTACTAAATAAGAATCACCCTAGTTTGATTGACTTATATAACAGTTGGACTTAAGAATTTAAATAATTTTATACCTGGAAGATTTTCTGGAAACCTGCTAAAATAACATGATTAAATGCTTCATAAAAAAGCAGTCAATACTTTCATTCATTTGATTCATCTCTTAGTTTACATATATGTTTTAAATACCTGGAAATTGTATTGCATTATTATCTAAGAAGTTAAATAAATGTCTTCCTTTAGTCCTAAATTATAACTGAAGTTCACAATCTGTACCCCTCATTTGTGATTAAACAATAAAATTATTCACAGGAAAATATAAAAAATACTCAAAAAGAAAAAAATGCATACGTTATCCATGCCTTTTGTCTTTCAGCAGAGGAAAACAGTACTGTTATACTGTTAGATTATTTAATAATGTATCGCTGATTACTTTATTTGCTTTTTGTGTGTGTGTGTGCGACACTCAGCAGTGCTCAGGGCATACTCCTGTGTCTGTGCTCAGAAATCACTCCTGCTGGTGCTTGGGGGACCAAATGTGGTAATGGGGATTGAACTCGGTCAGCAACATACAGAGCAAGCACCCTACCTGATGTTCTATATCTCTGGCTCCTATCTGATTACTTTAAAGTTTAGAAGAGTAAAAGAAGAATGTGTTTCCTGAGGTTTGTGTATAAACATCTAGTCACTTATAAATCTCAAAGACCACTCTAGGATGGCACTGATCAGTCTCATCTCTTCCTTTGTAACACATAATTTTGAAATTTTATCATTTTATCGTAATTTTGTGCAAGGGTAGGGGAATATGATGAACACTGTCTTATTTGGTAAGGCATTGATTTATATTATCCTTATCAAAATAACATTCTGTACAAAAATTGATATAGTTTTATGAGAAAATCCTAACAATAAGAAAATAAGCAAGATATTTTTTGTATTAGAGGAAGAATTTTTGACATCCTGATGCATGGGAGAAAATATCGCAGATAAGTTTCCCTATTTATGAAGAATTATGTTACCTATGAATTTGTTTATATATTGCCTTTGTGATATTGACATAAGTTCCTATAGTTCCCAAGTGGTCAAGGGTTTTTATCATGAATAGGTGCTTAATCTGATCAGACAAGTCAAAACCCCTAACTTCTTTAGCAGCCAATCTAACAAAGTAGAAAAACCTATTTAGTTAAGTTATAACTTATTTTCGAAAGGAATACAAGAACAAAAGGAAATGGAGACAGCCCTTGCAATGAACCAGAAGGATCAGCATCACTAAACCAACCATCTTTTTCAAAACAATTTAAAGATTCAATGTGATCCCCATTAAAATTTCCAAGGTATCATATATTGAATTCTAAAATTATACAACCATAAAATTCCTAAAATAGCCAAAATCATTCTGAGAAAAAATATGGTAAACACTATATTACAAGACTTTAAGCTTAATTACAAAGTTTTAGTAATAAAAATCTGTTATTAGAAAAAGATAGACTCTTAGATCAATGAATTGAATCCATTGCCCAGATTAAAACCCTCAAGTGTCTAAACAGATAATTTATAATGAAGTAGTCTATGAGGTAGGGCAAAGAGAACCTCTTAAACAATTAGTGCTAGGAAATCTGATTAGCCACATGTAACAAAATGAATTTAGACCTGTATCTCGTGCCATTCAAAAGGCCAACTCAAAACTGATTAATG